AAACTGGAGAGGCTGTCACAAAATGGAATCTAAAAGAGGTTTTGAATGCTGCCTAATATATTTTACACAATAGCCTGCAAGGAGAGAAGACTATAACTCTGTTACTGGTTCTTTTATCTATCCTTTTAACTTTTGCTCAACAAGGTAACTACTTCTACTGTACTAGCTCCATTCAAAACATAAATTGACATGCTTAAGACAATCAAGTTTTTCCATTTAGTTACTGGCAATTGTAGTAAGACAGACAACATTCGTTGTGAAATTTGCTGACTAATACAAAAGTATTGACAAGAGAACCGATGACTAGATATGATTTAAAATTTTTCTAAATAATATTTGATTTATATTTTTAATGGGTTGAAAACAAAAAGGTGGTTAACAGATTGATCAAAGTGTGAAAAAGTTTGAATTTTTTTTTCTGCAATGCTTTACTTAAATCCCAAGTTTCCCAAGCTTCCCAAGTTACATTTCTTTGCTTATATTGCAAATATAATTGGACCTTTTCTGAACCAGACAGACTGTCCAATTGTTCTATTTTTATATTTTTATGTAAAGGAAATAATAATAAAGTTGCTTGAAGTTATTGCAAACCAGATAAGGTAGCAAAGAAATTTGTTTTTTCAATGGTGAAAAGTTTTTGTGACAAATCTCCACTGAATTATTAATTGATAAGAGCATTCAGTATCTTTGATCCTAGTGTCTTGATGGAGTTGACAAAACAAAAATTGATTGGTCATTTAAAACTTTACTTGGGGATTTTATCACCAAGTCACAGCAATGTGACTTGGTGTTATCTCAGTTTAAAGGCTTAAATCTTTTAAGTTCATTCATTCTTATTTTAAGTTTATACATCCTTTATTGGTCTTGATGATTTTTATTTTCAACATGCTTGTGATAGCAATTACATCAAATTGTCTTTTATCATTAAATTAATTTTAACACTTAGTCATGGCCAGGCTGCTGTTGAGCATGGTTTTAGCATAAACAACTCTTCTGTTTAAACAAACATGACACCTTTAACATAGATGAGTTTTTTCCGGGAATTCCCGGAATTCCGGAAATTCACTTTTAATTTTCCAGAATTTTCCGGATGTTTTTTGTTATTAATTTGAAAAAAATTTGTATATATTTTTACATAAAATTTTAAATACGACAACTTTTGCATTTAAACAAATGTTTTTTATAATTAAAATTATAAAAAACATTTGTTTAAATGCAAAAGAGATCAATTTTCGTAACAACTTTTTTACTTTTTTTTTTTTTGCTTTTAAATTCATTCAAATTAACTTTTTCGAATATTAGAAATTCCTTTTTGTAAAAAGTTAAATATTCTAAATTCCGTTTTAAAGGTTTACGAAAGTTTTGTCTGTTACAGGGTTATTCATTTGTTGTCTGTTACAGGGTTATTCATTCTTATAAGCACGTCTATTCAATTTTATATGGGTATTTATTCATTCTTATACGTGTTTTAAATAAGCAATAAGAACAAAAAAAATCATTTTGTTTTGAAAAAACAATTTACTTTTTTCAAAACAAATTTTTCTTATTTCCTGGTAAACAAGGTTTAAAATACTTAAAACGAAGACTTTTTACATTCCACAATGGTTTATTTAATTTAGTATCAGGTCTTTGTTTAATTTTATTACATTATTAAATTAATAAACAAATTAAATGAATAAATGCACGTATAAGAATGAATAAACACGCATTTAAAAATCAATAGACGCGCATATAAAAATGAATAACCTGGTAAAATGATCAATTTTTAATTAAATAATTTTCCGGGATTTTCAAAGAAAAAAATTTCCGGGATTTTCAAAAAGTCAAATACTCATCTATGCTTTAAGTATTATCTCCCAGATAATCGTAAAGGACCATCTAATTGCCAATGATTTAAAACTGCACACAGTCTAAATCACAGCACCATTGGTCAAAGCTTTTCGATCAGCACATCAAAAATATATAATTAAGTTGGATAATGCTAAAAAAGAGAAAGAGAAAACAGAGCTAGTACAAAAAGCAATGTATATCACAGCCGACATCGAAAACTTAAATAAAAAAGTTAAGGTTTAATGATGAAAAACGAGATTACATAGTGTATGGAACTTGCATAAAAAAATGTGTGACCTTAGTTACGTTAAGAAAGAGAATGGATTAAAAAAAAAAAATTATTGAAACTAAACAATAGGTTGAGTTTATAGAAAAACAAATTAAAGAACTTAAAAATAAGAAGAAAAAAAATGGTCTAGTTAGTTTTTATTAACAAATGACTTATTTTATTTCAGTATATCTAAAGTTGTTTCTTTTTTAAAGTTTTCTGATTCTGTGATTTATTGAGAAGTTTTGCAATTTATTAATCTTAACTAAGATAAAAAATGCTTTAAATGGATTGTGTCTTCCATAAGAGCTTTTTGATATACTTTTATGATTACAGAT